TGCAGGGCTTGGAGGCATCTGGGCAGCACAGCCCAGCGGGGAGTGGGGCTCACTGCGCCTGTTAACCCTCCTGGGAGTAACTTCTTGCTCCCATCCTGCTTTTTCACGAAAGGATTCCAGAATTTAGAAGGTGCTTTTCTACCTTTTCTCTCACCAACTCCTTCAAAATCTGTCATTGGACAGCAGCGAGTAAGTGTGTACTAAGAAGAAGCCCAAAGGGAGGGAAAGAAAACATTCTGGGTGTTGAAAAACTGTTGACTGATTTCCCTCCATGGGCGTATTTAGGTGGAAATGCCCTCAGCTCATTGGTGGCAACGTGGCTGCTGCACCCTGGAACCCACATCTCTTTCTGGCCATGCCACTCAGTCTCTGAGACCTTGAGCAGGTCACTTTACCACTGTGGGCCTTGGTCTCCCCACCTGTGAAACAGGGGTTATCAGACCTGCCTTGCCTATCAGACAAGGCTACTTAGAAAAGGAGAGAGTTTTATAAGGCATCCTTACCATTATTAATAAAAACAAAACTGGATACTATATAATGTGACATCTTTATTTATAGGAAAATTGTTTAATCTTACATGAAAGGCATCCTGCTTTTCAGAGTGAGTTGAGTGGTGCTGCTGTGGAAACATGAGGCTTCACTCCCCACCGGCCTCCTCCGTGCCTTTTGGGGATGCGTTTCTGTGTTCAGTGTCTAGTGCGTTCATGACCGCAGGAACCTTTAAGTAATTTTCATCAACATGATCTAAACCCAAACAGCTGTTATGGTTCATCCGACCACATCTGTGCTTCTAATTTGTTAGCTCCTCAATTGAACTGGGTAATACTAGGGTTTGAATCGCTGCAAGCTTAATCAGCTCGTCCCAGGGAGTACACACGGAAGGAGGCCTGGATGGGCTGACTCCCGTAATGCCTGTATGTTACCATGAACATGGATTCAGAAAAAAAAATCTAGGATGAGAAATTGTTTTTTGTGCTAGTAAAAGAAAAATGCCCTTAACTTCTGTGCACTGTGCTGCAAGAGGCTGGCTGAGAGCAAGTCCCCTTAAGAGCTATACCTTGACATTGTTCTCTGTGATAGACATGGACATAGCATTTTTATTTTCCCCAAAGTGCTCTTTCCAAGAAGAAGGCTTTATGATCAACCTCGTCTTTTTAGAGAAAGGCTCTTGAAGTTGATTTGCAAAACTAAACAACAGATTTTTGACGTTTTTATAACCATCCTTCCTGTGCAGTGGCCCAGCCTGGGTGAGAAGTCATTTCAAACGTGACTTTCACCCTTGAATTCTGAAACCATAACCAGGCTGCCCGTGACCATGGCCCTGGGTGGCACCTGCACTGTGAGCTCTGTGCTATGGAAACACCATTAGCAGGTGATAAGGGGGAGATGCCTCTGGTTAGACGCTCTTTCTAATCACTGGGCCGACTCAGTCTTTCTCTCCATGTTCAGTCTCTAAAAAGCCTTCAGGCAACAGTTGTTCCTGGCCTCCGTTTGGTTCTCATACTAGCAGAAATTGGCTTTGAGGCCACTTTCCTTCCGTTAGCCTGTAGATACCCAGAGAAGGAAGTGACAGCATCAAGCCTGATTTTATCTCCCCACCCCAAATTTCACTGCCGAGAACTAGTATTTTCTGAATCAGGAAGTAGACATTTCAGTAAGCCTGTGTAAGTACCTTTACTGCTTCATCTAATTGTAGAAGGAGCCAGTTACTGGCTTTTTGTAAAATTTTCCAAAAATAGTAAAATGTGTAATATAAGAAGAAAAGCCTTCTTCACAGTCCCATCCTCTAAGGTTACCGGTGTGTGCCCTCAGGGTGGAGGTTGTTTTTTCATGTCTGTTCCCATATGTGTTCCAACTTGTTTATCAGTTGCACACCCAGAGAAGTGGTGATTCTGAGCCATCAAGAGTGTGGGTTCTGGAGACAGAGCTGGGCTTGTGTCCACAGTACCATTTACCCACTCAGTTTCCCCTTCTGTAAAATGTCAGTGATAATAGGACTTGGTCTCAGGAGTTGTTCTGGAGATTCACAGAGCTCATTTACAAAGTTTTCCTGGGTCCAACTCATGTAACTTAATAAATGTTCACAAAGGGCCTGAGAGTGGACTCGAGCTGAACCACCTGGATATGAGTCCTGGCTCTGTCACTGTGCTCTGTGGACTTTGGTGAGCCACTGAACCTCTCTCTGTGCTTTACTTTCCTCATCTGTAAATGGGGATGATGATAAACAGCACCTGCTTCATAGAGTTGTGATAAGAATTAAATGAGCCGATATACTTAAAATACAGCAGTGCAGGTGTAAAGTACATGCTATGTACGTGTTGGGTGTCCAGTAATGTTGAATAGTATAAACATAAGGGCTTTTGTCCTGGTTTTTGGTAACGTCTTCCTTTCTCCTTGGCACAGGCTGTCTTTTCCTCCGTGTTTTATTTTGCCTCCGTTCCTCTCTATCAAGGATTCCTCATCATCGGGTAAGGAAATCCAGGCATGGTATTGATTTTTTTCTGTAACCTCTTTAAACTGCCCCAGAAGAAAGAGGAGACATGGTGTAAAGACTCTCCAGTCCAGGCAGTCGACCAGCGTGGTTTAGAACCTTCTTGAACTGATAAGTTTTTGAGCTGGTGACTCCATAACCATGTAGAGCAGGTACAGTCTGATATGTTTCTGATCTCCAGCGCTTGGCCACTTGCACATGGTGATGGAAAAGTGCCCGTGAGAGTCTGAGGTTATGGGCTGTGATTAGCACCTGAAGGTTCACAGGTTCAGTGATTTCACTGGGGTCTAAGGTGGGCCACAGCTTTGCTCTCTGGGGGGATGCGCCTACTAGAGCAGGACCTCTGCATGCCAGCAACCTGCCAGGGTGTCACCTGGATGTTTCCTGCCATCAGACCCACTCCCATTCCTGACCTGGAGCTCATGACATTCCTTTTGACCTATTCGGAGATGGTTCTCAGTCTCTGAGTTGCCCAGGTAGGTGGGGTTTGGTTACCACATGCCCGAGGTGGAGACGCACGCAGGGCGCACTCCTGCTTACGAGAGGCGAGAAGCACAGAAAGGCCTGTTGGCCCTGGGGGAGAGTCTTACAAAGTGTGCCTTCTACCTTTTTATGTTTGTCCAGTTCAGCCTGAGAGTAGGCACTGCAGTCCTGCCTGCTTCTCATTGGAACAGCGGGTTGTCCTGCCAGGCCCTGGGAGAGTGAAAGGACATGCCAAAGAGTAGCCAGGGCTCCTCAAGCTGTGCCCCCACGTGGCCTTCCAGGACCAGATCCTCTCTTGCGTCTTGGTTCCCCTCTTCTCCTCTCCCCATCACCCACTCAGCTACAGCCACACTAACCCCGTCGCTGGTCTTCAGCAGGAAGGATGCTCTTGCCTCAGGGCCTTTGCACCTGCTGTCCTCTCTGCCTGGGGTGCTCTTCCCCCCATGTCGGCGTGGCTGCTCCTCACCTCTTTGGGTGTTTATGCAAATGTCACATCCCTAGGCCACCCTCTGTAAGATCACACTGCCCCCATGTCTTACTCTCTCTTCCCCGTTAAATGTTCCTTCTTAGCACTTATCTCTAGCACACAGTGTAGCTTGTTGAATTTGTTTATTGACTCACGGACTAGCACAAAATCTCTCTGAGGACAGGCATGTTTGTTTTTCATCTTGAGTCTCCAGTGCTTCAGACCCGCCCTGGCATGTATGTAATAGGCACTCAGTAAATGAGTGGACATTGGGCCCCACAGCTGGGAGGGCAAGGTGCTCAAATGCCCTTGGCTGGGCCTTACCTGTGACGACTTTCTCTTCTAGGTACTCCACCATCTACACCATGTTCCCCGTGTTTTCTCTGGTCCTGGACAAAGATGTCAAGTCGGAGGTCGCCATGCTATACCCCGAGCTCTACAAGGACCTCCTCAAGGTTCCCTGAGCTCCTTCCTCCCTTCTCGCTTCCTGTCCCCCATCCCCACCTCTTTGATGTTTCGCACAGACCCTCCCTATCCAATTTGAACACACTTGAGCTGGTGGTGGTAGGGAGGAAGGTGTGGGAATTTTTTGTCCTTAAAGTAGTATATGCACATGTAAAAAAATATGAAATGTATGGTAATATGTGATATGAAAACAAATGAATTAGTGACTTTTTAGAAAGCTCCCAATGTTTTTACTGAAGGGCAGACAGACTTACCTCCATTTAATATCAATTCTTTGTTAAAAAATGCAATTTCTCTGATGTATTTAAATGTGTGTAAGCCACTCTTTTGATGAAAACAAGCAGGTTGTCTTGTCTGGTTAGTGGAAGCCTAGCCTGAAGGCAGCTGGCGCCCTGGGTGGTCCACGCACAGTAACCTGCCCTGTTTCTCTCTTGTTTAGGGGCGACCGTTGTCCTACAAGACATTCTTGATATGGGTTTTGATTAGCATCTATCAAGGTAAGGAAGGGTGAGACCACCCGGTGTCTTGTGCTTTGGCATTGGCCCAAGGGCAGCTCTGCTGTTTAATTGTCTGTGGCACACGAAGAGAAGAGGCTTGGAATCCTAAAATAGCAGTAAGGAGTGTGGCAGCGTGCCCTGAGGGAGGCCCCACGCAGCATGTTATAAGGACTCAAAACTTTCAGCGCACTGGAGGTCACGTGTGAGATAGTGCTGTCAGCTTATGAGATAGAAGAGAAAAACGTAACTCTGACTAATCAAAACTTGCTGAGGTGTTTGAGCCTTTGTAATGAAAAGTGGTTGCTTTCTGGAATGTTCCGATACTTTTTCTGAGGTCAAGTCATAGCTTTTGAAAACCATTTACTTCAGTGGCCTCCAGAGCTGGTCCTTTAGGCAGTAGAGGCTTTGTAAGACGACTTACTAGTGTATGAGATGAAAATGTCAAAACCTCTGTTTGTATTATTTTTCCTCACTCTTCTTAGACTTTCTATTTTTATGTATGTTTTATAATGTATGTAATACATTTGTACAGTGGTCCTAATATCTATCTGTGTCTACACCAGTATGCACCTTTACAAATATACCTCATATATCAGGGTTCATTCTTAATGCTTTTTTACTGATGGGACATGCAGCCAAATAGTGTAGAGACCATAGAATGTGTTGACAGGAGGTTAAACTGTCATTAAAAAAATTGAGGGGGGGTTATTTTTAAGAAGTATATGAGACTATAATATGTACATCTCATTAAAGCAAATCCTGCATAAAACTTTGTAATCATAAGTAGCAGTGCCCCATTCCACCCCTTCGTTGTTACCCCTGAGAAGTCAGGCAGTCAGCGGGGGT